CTGTTCCATGGAGCTTATCCCCAGCCCTCAAAATTTTAGACAAAGAAAAATTACCAGTTTGGTGTAAAGGTAAAATAAAAATATTCTGAGAAGACATTTATAGAAAAGTACTGCCTAATGCATCTTTCCTTGGAAAGTTACTGAAGGATGTTTTCCAGTAAAATAAGATGTGTAGTTCAGGACACAGTGACTCCAACCCAAAAAACACAGTGAGTTCCAGGCTGATACCTGTATAACAGACATGAATGTAACTACTGAATGTTGGACGAGGAGACTAGAATGAACTAAAGCAGAGGTACGTAAGGGAGGAAAACCCTAAACATACAGTCTATGTTAAGGTATCCAAAAACAAAAGAAGAGAAGGAAAGAAGATAGGAACAAAAGAAGGCCAAGAGAATCTACACACGCATGTGAGAGGGTTGGAAATGGAAAGAGGCAGGAAAGGAAATTCACGATAAAATAATGTTTTATTGCGAAACAAGTAGTTTTTCATAGTCATTATGTTATAAGTATGCATATGGGTGTCCTTCCCATTCATATGTTCCGCATCTGTGGATTTAAACAGTGTTGGATCAAAAACTAAAAAATGCATCTGTATTGAATGCGTACAAGATTTATCTTTGTCATTATTCCTATAATATAATACATTTACACTGCCTTTGGTTTTATAAGGAACCTAGAGATGACTTTAAGCATATAGAAAAATGTGTGCAGATTATTTCCAAGTCTCATGTCTTTTACATAAAGAACTTGAGAACCTGCAGATTCTGGTATCTTCTTTTTGTTTGTTTTTTTGTTTTTTTTTTTAGATTCTGATATCTTGAGGGATGCCAGAACCAGTTTTATGGGATTCCAAGGAACAACTATAACTAAGAATAAATAAAAATAAAAATAAGTGTCGGAAGGTTGGAAAGGGGCTGTTAAATGTATGACTCTTAGCTTCATGTCTATTATAAGAGCAAATCAATGGGCAATATTTAAAAAATGATGACTCAAGCAACATATACTTGGAGATAGAGAGAAAATTACAAGAAAAGCTAGGTAAACAAAAATTAAAGGTAGTTACTTATAGGTAGCAAGGATAGAGAAGGAAGAAGAATTGGGGGAAAATAGGCAGAAAATTATTGTGCTTTCTTAACTATTTTGTTACATTCTGGTATTTTCAACCCTGAGCATTTATTACTCTGATTTAAATTTTAACACATGGAAGATACTCATATTTGGGGCTAGAGTGTAGGTTAGTGGGAAAGCAAGTTCTTAGCATGCACATGGCCTTACCTTCAATCGCCAGCACCACCAAAAAAAAAAAAAAAACCAGCAGTGAACCTACTTCCTATAATTCCATAGAATGAGTATTGTACAGAGGGGAGATGAAGTGCCTATGATTCTAGATTTATAACACTTCTGGGTCTAGAGGTAGAAAAGCCAAAGTTCTATGGTACCTCCGAGGCAGTGAGGGGAACAAGTCCTAAACACTCCAACAAGGGCAAACCAGTAAGAGGTTAGATGGATGAAGGACCACTGGAAGAGTGATGCCTGGGTACCCCAAGAGATGCTGCTATGGTTTAAACATGTGCCCCCCGCAAAGGGACATGTATTAAAGGTTGGATCTTCAGCATGGTGCAATTGGGAAGCATTAGAACCTTTAAGAAGTGGAACACGATGTCCTAAGGTCATCGGGGATGTGACCTCCTATGGGATTATGGCACTTTAGTCTCTTCTTACTCTCTGGTTTTCTAGCTCCCCAGGTGAGCAGTTTGCCTCACTGCATACTTCTGCCATGGTGTATCTAAGGTACCTGGAGATCAAGTCAGGCACCAGCCTACAGCGCAGTCTCCAAACCAGGTGAGGAATTCAGGTGCCTCACGTACTACATATAGTGGTTTACTCCACACAGTGTGGCTTGCTCTCACTGTCTCTCTCTTGGTGATCTGGCATCCTTAATTACCTAACACTACACCTAAGACTTCATAAAAGCCTGATAAGGTCTAATGAGATCTGAAAGCATGTTTTGTGGTGAAACTGTGAATCCACTTTTCCCCTTCAGGAGCCAAAAAGGATACAACAATGTTAGAAACGTACCTCCCAGGAAGACATCATAATCTGCAATCTCTTACCTCTTGGGCGAGTCCGGATCAAAGCAGGTCTTGCGCACATCCGTCACCTCGGGATCACAGCAGTCCCCCTCGTCAAAGTCATTCAGCATGTTGTTGCACGCAGCATGACAGATCCCATCCCCGAGGTTCCAGGCGTAGCAGCGGCCCTGCAGGCGGCAATCGCCCCCGTCGTAGCCCGTGAGTGGGTGCTCACACTCGGGGTCGCAGTGGTCATTTCCAATCTTGCTGGGCTCACAGTTTACAAGAACAGCCCGGTGGCGCAGGGTGGAGTTGAGGACCCGGTGGACACTCAGCTGCCAGCTGATGTTGTAGCGGCTGAAGGCCTGGTTCAGTGCCTCGTGCTGCTGCCAGACCTGTGCCTCGCTCACCGTGGGATGCAAGCCCTCGTCGTCACAGACGTTCACCACCTGGTACTGTATCACCTTCTCTTCCCGCAGGGGCCAGTGCCCATTGTAATGAGAGATCAGCTCCACATTGTCACAAACTGTCTGCCCACAAAGTGGGGGCTGCAGCGGTGACACAATCTCAGGCTTTGGCCCAGAGCCCTGGAGAACCTCAAGCCGGGGATATTGCTCATCCCTGAAAAGTGTCCACTGTTCCTTCAAAGGATCAAAACTGGCCGTCAGGACCAAGGTGGCCAACCCCTCTGCCCTGCTTGCATTCTTGGGACTGTGCTGGAGGTGGCTTTGTGAGAGGGCAGTGGACCAGAAGACCAGTGTTCCCAGGTGTCCACGAAAACAGTGCCCATTCTCAGAGCTATCCCCACCCAAGAGCAAGGCGCGGCAAGATGCCATGAAAGGGCTGTGCAGGGGGCCAGACTGGCCCAGACTACTAGCCACCTGGGTGCCATCCACATACAGGGCCATGCGCTGTCCATCATAAGTGGCTGCCACATGGGTCCACATGCCTGGTTGGTAGCGACTGTGGCCAGTCACAGTGGTGGCTTTCTTCATGCGGTCGGTGCGGAGGGAGAAAAAGAAGCGGGCATCTTGCCTTCCCTTGTCCTTCCCCGAGCGGATGCCCAGGGCCCAGCCCTTGTCATTGACTGTGTGGGAGCAGTTATCAAACACACCTGGGAAAGAAAGAAGAATCCAGCGAGAAGCACCAGGTGCAAAGAGAAATGGAGAAAGGAGAAGAAAGCCTGTGTAAATGAGTTTTTAGTAGGAAACACGTGACACAGATTCCTCAGCTGGGATCCCTGTTTATGCTCCCATACTAACCGCTTAGCAACTTATATCCCCCCAAAAAAATCTAATTTGAGTGGGGCCAGGGAGATGGCTCAGTGGAATAAGTGCTTCCCTGGAAAGCACAAGGGCCTGAGTTCAATCCCTGGTTCCACCAAAAAATAAATAAATAAAA